TATCAGGGGCTTCTTAACCTTTATGATGACTATTGAGTTAATGTTCAAAAGTGAACAAACACTGAATAATACCTTAATATATATAGCAGGCAACCCGTGAAAGTTACCACATACAGAAAAATATGGAAAACCTGCTTGGTTTTTTCTGTGGAAACATTTGAAGGCACAGATCTCCAACCTAAGCATGTTTTATTTTTTTTTGATAAGATAAACAGGTATTTGGGGATCTCTCACACACATAATTACAAAGGAACTTGTACATCTTCTTAGTAAACAACAGGATATACATGTAAGTATCATAGTTTGCTCACCTTTCCATCAAAGCGTTTTATTATATACTGATCCAGCCCCAGGTCTATAAAAGAGAAGACAAAATATTTAGTCACTGATTGTAAGTCAAGTGAAACATATAAAAATGACAGTTCTCAGTTTTGTTCCCATTCAACTAAATGTACTTGATGGTTTAGCCACAACATTTATTCAAAGGCCTTAGAATGAATATTTTGCCTCCTTTCAGACTCAAAGTGTCAGTGCTAAAAGATACCAACCTTGTCACACCAACGTCCACATTCAATCCCTGTACTGGTTAGCCATCAGAAATAAGTCAATAAATAAAAGATACAAAACTTTTATTTTACATATCAGAAAAGTGAAGCTCTGAGAAGGGAAAGAGGGTAAAAGCTGCAAATCTACTCAACAGTAGGGCCAAACTAGAACTCTGGACTCTTCTCAGTGTGGTACTCTTTTCATTAAATCAAGGTGCTATATTACTTCTAATTAAGGTGAGGGATATTAGTTTAATCTGAATGCATAATAATCTTTTGCATCAAGTTAAAAGAAAAAGGATCAATATGAAAAAAATTCTGTAACACTTAGATACAAAAAGACCATCTTAATATTCCCTTTTAAAATTGGATTAAATAATAAATATTTACTTGGAAATATCTAGCTTTCACTTTTTTTTTCTTTTTTTTTTTTTTTGTCTTTTTGTCTTTTTCATGACCGGCGACGGATCGCAACCCTCAGTGTCACGCCCGTACTGGACTGGGACCGGCAACGGGATCGCAAC